CTACTTTCAATGACTTATGGAAGTGGGCCGTCCCCTTTGCTTCAAGGCAGGACAACGGGGAAGAGCCATTCCAGCCCCAGAGCTCCTAGTAGGACTGGCTGAGGCCTCTGCTGCAAACGCATCCCAGCTGAATTTCTCCCTTGGCCCAGTCCTGCCTCCCTCCCTACTCCCAGATGTGGTTTCTGAGAGTACTCCCTAATGAATCCCCTCGTACAAATCTGGGTCTCGGAGTCTGTTTCCTGGGGAATCCAACCTACAACAATGGCTTTGCCTCAAGATTTATGATATAGGACAAAGATACGTACATAAATGAGGAGAGAATTATAAAGCAAATGGGACAAAATGTTAACAATTGGTGGATCTGGATGAGAATTCTTTGTGCTATTCTTGCATCTTTTCTGTAAGTTTGCTCCAAGATAATGAAATTGTTAAGGTTCTAAACTCATGATTCTGCAAAAGTTAAATATAAACTTAATCACTATGAGGCTTTGAAATCTTATCAGTTCTTCATTAGCCCATGAATGTTTTCTATGATAGATATACTTGTTCATTTTTAAAAGTTAATTTTGTTAGGTAAATGACTTAGTTTACTTCAATTACACCTGAAAGGACACTGTCAATACATAGCAACAATGTCTAGTAGATGCTAAATAATACATAGAACAGTTTGGGTATTTATGGAGGGTTTCAACTCCAAAATGTGCTGTCACATTGTTAATGTCTGATAGTTTGAACGTCAGTTTGGTATCTCATCTGAGAAATATCAGAGGGTTCACCAGTTCTGCTTTGTGGTATTATCTAGTGATACAGGCTCAATGAAATCTATAGCTTCTCTCCAGATAGCTTCTGCCAAGTACCTACAGCCGTGGTATCTAAGCACTCATCTTCGAATGACTCAATAGCATTGTTTCCTGCAGCATCTTCGCTTTTTCCTTTGAGGTTTCTCGTTCACATCCTAGTACTCCTTGACTGTGACTTCACAGTCTTGATTGATAACTAGCTTGTGATACACAGGGTGCTTCATTTCCACTAAGGAACTAAATGTGTGAAGTGTGTTCTCCCCCTCCACTCGCTTGTGAAAACCCAGAAAGCAATGTTGTGTAATCACCTAATTTAATTAAGCACACCTCACTTCCAGTGTTGCGCTGATGCTAAAATAAATTTCTAAATGAATTTCTGTACACTCAGTATATTCTAACTGCCTTCCTGCTTGCTCCATAAGATAATTTATTATAGGCTTAAAACATTTTAGCTATTCTAGGCTAAAATGCATCTCCAAATATGCAAGATATTTTTTTCTTTCACAATCCTTACTATTCTTCAGTTTTCCTCACACTTTACTTCACAATTGACTTCCTGAAATTTTTATTAATCTACTTCTGTGATGTCTAAAACTTAAGTCCATATCATTTCAAGGATAATTTGTTGCTGAATGCTCAAAGAGTGATAATAAAGATAGTTCCTCATTAAATCACTTGAAAGTACATAGATGATCTAAGCCTCAAACTACTGCTGTTTGCCGGTATTACTTATAAAATCTCCAAGTCCAAAATAAGCTCACTTTAATTATTCATTTTCATGTGAAGTTACAAGAAAATGAAAAGTTAGAGCCATAAATGCAAAGTTCTTATTCTTCAGCATCTTTGTCTTATATCATACTTGCTCCTTTTGCCCATGTAGTTCCTTCTGCTTGGAATAATTTCTCCCTCTATATTTATCAGGATCCTAGCCATCCTTCAAAGCCTTCTTCACATTTTACTTCCTGTTTGAGGCTCTTTCTGATTACTCTGGTACACATTGATTTTTTTTCCTCCTTAGAATTTCTATTCCTAAAGTTAGTTATTTTAAGAAAGTTTGACCTGTAATTGTTCTCTTCTAATTTTTTCCCATAAGTCTCTGTATGTTAGACTTATCTCACTAGTCAGGCTATAAACTTTTTGAAGGCAAGGACCAGGCTATTTTTCTTGTATAATTCCTAAAATGATTTTGAAAAATTATATGCCTCCTAATATGTTTTTAACTGACATGTGAAATTTTGTCTTAAGTATAGTAAATGCAAAGGATATAATTCAAAATATTGACATTAAAGACAAAAGAAAAGAAAACAAGCAAAACTTTCATGAGTCTTTTAAGAGCATCTAAAGGAATATAAATACTATTGTGATTCATATCTGTAGTCATTCATTTGAAACAATACATGGTCTTCTTTAATTATTGACATTGTACATCATTCCCTTTTCTCCTTGAAGTCATATATCTATTCCACATCCCTCACAGAATTTTATCCTGATAGAAAGTATGTTTATGCTTGAAAGTTGTCTCTACATAAAATATGTATATAAATTGAAATTATTTTTCTAAGTTGTCTGTGACAAGAGGCTTTAAGTGGCAAAGTAGTTCTTCTAGATTGACTTACTGTTACAATTATTTTTAGTACAAAGTCGATCAAAACCACATAAATGGGGGCTTCCCTTGTGGCACAGTGGTTAAGAATCTGCCTGCCAATACAGGGGATATGGGTTCGAGCCCTGGTCCGGGAAGATCCCACATGCCATGGAGCAACTAAGCCCGTGCGCCACAACTACTGAGCCTGTGCTCTAGAGCCCACGTGCCACAACTACGGAGCCCACGTGCCACAACTATTGAAGCCTGCTCGCCTAGAGCCCGTGCTCCGCAACAAGAGAAGCCACCGCAATGAGATGCCCATGCACTGCAACGAAGAGTAGCCCCCGCTTGATGCAACTAAAGGAAGCCCGTGCGCAGCAACGAAGACCCAATGCAGCCAAAAATAAATAAATAAATAAAATTTTAAAAAAGAAACAACCACATAAATGTGGTTAAGTACTTATTAAACATAAAGAATAAAATTTTATTGGAAAGACATATTTTTATGAGCTACATGGAACTGTTCATTTACCCATATATGAATATTACTTAGTCCTTGAAATAAACAGGGTTTAGCATAAATTCTGTTTCTGTTTTACATTTTTAGAGATGTAAATGCTGAGAAGATTTGTTCACCTAAAATTGGGTGGGGAATAGAAGGTGTTTTATTATAGCAATGTCAATTAATTTTATGAATTCTTTCCAAATAATATGCCAAAAATTATATAGTGATTTATTATAAAAATGTTTTTCATCTCTTGTCAACTGTTAACTTGATTAGATCTTTCTTTAATGTTGTTGAAAGCAAAAGATTGGAAACACCCCACTTAGAAAAAGATTTGTTAAACAGTCATTGGGAGCAATTTATGTTCTCAATTTCTGGAAATAATACCAAAAACCTTTTGCTAAAATTTATCAAATGACTATTAATTATTCTGGTTACATTTTAATTTAACCCAATATACTCAGAATGTGTGGGAAAAATAAAAACACTAATTGCAGTGTACCCGTCAATACAAAATTTTTTGAGAAAGTGATTTTGTGTCATATGCTTTAAATGAATTTTCATCAAGTCTTCAGAACTGCAGATTTGTTTCATTCAATTATTGGAGAATATTTACCATATTTACCTAGTTGTCAAAGTCGGCCCTCATTGTGAAAACAACCAGTAGAATCAGATTTAAAGTTTCTTTCAGAAAACATCTAACATTATTTAAATAAACATGTAACCAGACATCACTCTGGTTGTATTCACACTCCTTAGTTTTCTTAAGATAAATAGCTAAGGCATGAAGACTTGCCCTGAGTATGTTGCGTTGGTGAAATAAGGTGCCCCTGCCTCTGATGCTTTCTGTGCTCTTCTGTTATGGGACTCTTACTCAGGAGCGATGCATTCTTCGACAGTACTGAGGAATGGAAAGCACAAGGACATTAGATGAGACTTATCAACTGTCCTGCTCCTCCACACTGTGATATATCTGAGTACCACACATCCTGGTGTGGACCAAAAGAACTGTTGCTTGTGCCATGCTTTGCGATTAAAAGAAATATGTATAAGACAGGACAAACTTTGAAGCTCTACTTTGGGTTTTTCATGCCTTGATTAAAGGAAACTTCCCTATACCAGTCGTTTTTACTATTGTTTGGTGCCTTAGAGACAATTATGCTTGTATCTTAAGGGAAGATGCACCATAATAATATGGGTAAAGAAAATGTCTTTCTTTGTAAAGTGGGAGAAAATTGATTATGAAAGGGAAAGGGGAAAGAACCAGCCAGATGCTTCTACACAGTTGCATTCTCAGGCAGATCAGTTTTTGGTAAGAATATATATAGAACTTGTGCATCTGGAAATTGAGTCCTTTAAAGCTATCTATGCCCATAAAGCTATCTATGTACTTAGACTTGGGAAGTCTTCAGGCACCCCCAGAGGTGTGCGTATACCAGTTTGAAGATAGATTTCTTATGCTTTTTGTGGTCTCCAATAATATGCTGAAATATAGTTACTGCTAATACTTTTGTTTACATAGTAATTAACATAGGAAGGAAAGTGATATTAAGACTACAAAAACATTAAATTCAGCAAATATATATAAACAGATATATCAGCTTATCTTCATTGGCATTTCTTTTTTGTTTAAATTTTGTTTCAATTTTCTTTTTATAAAATAATCTATACATTTCTGACTAATTTTGCCTAGAACACATGAAATTCACACTGCAGGAATAAAGTTCTTTTAAATATTATTAGAATAATTATAATTGTCATTCCTGCTTTGCTAAAATTTCATTTGAGTAATTTTCATTTTCAAACTCTATTTTCTACACTATATTATACTTTATTTTAAAAAATGTTTCAAATAATAAAACTTAAAATTGAATCATTGATGGGAGAAAGGGCTAGAATTGAATTTGTATTTTTAAAATCTGTCTGAACTTGTCAATTATGATAAAGGAATATATTAAATGATTAATATTCATAGGTAACCATTGGTACATGATGTATATTTTGTAGACAAAATGGATCTTCAGAAGTGATTAACTTAAAAATTGTGAGCTGATGTGAAAACATTACTATTTCCTGTCAAAGTAAAATCTTAGCTTTATGTTGTTGACAGAAAACACTTCCAAGGCAGGATTGAAACAAGAGCAGTGTCAAGACATTCAGTTGCCTAGCAGAAGTGTGTCATCCCAGGAAATACTACCCCTCAAGATTAATGCTTGGAAATCAGCAGAGGTAAGTCATTATAGTAGTTTCCTATGGCTGCTCTAACAAATTACCACAAACTTAGTGCCTTAAATCAACACAAATGTAGTATTTTAGAGTTCTATGTGTTAGAAGTCTGACCCAGGTCTCACTGTCCCGGAATCCAGGTGTCTGCAAGGCTGTATTCCTTTCTGGAGGCCCTATGGGAGAATTTGTTTTCTTGCTTTTTCCAGCTTCGTGTGTTCTAAAAGAAACTGTGCTTGTCTTTTAACTTTGTTTTTGATGTCTTCTGTTACACAGAATTTTGAATAAGAATAAGGTTAAATTAAAGTTTTCCTTTATAGTTCATGCTTTTTAAAATCTTATTTAAGAAATTCTTTTTTTTAATCCTAATATAATAAAGGTGTCTTATTTTTTCTTCCAATGTTCAAATTTTATGCCCTCTGGAATTTTACTGTATAGTGTAATATAGGGGTCTTATTTATCCCCCTGTGGATAAGCAATATTTAATTTTTTGAACAGTCCATCTTACTCTACGCATTTAAAAAAGGTTTTTATTGCGAAATAATTATAGACTTATAGGATGTTGCAGAAACAGTACAGAGTCCCATGTACCCTTCACCCAGCTTTCCCCTGTGTTGACTTCTATATAGCTATAGTAGTACAATATCAAAATCAGGAAATAAACATTGGCATGTTATGCTAACTAGACTACAGACCTTACTCAGTTTTCACATTTTCAATTCAGTATTCATTTTTTTAACCTGCATTGTGTGTGTATGTGTTCTATGTAATTCATCCTAAGTATAGATTCCTATAACCAGCACCAAAATCAAGATACAGAACTGTTCTATCACTACAAAAGAAGTTCCTCATGCTATTCACCCCATCCCACTCCTCCCAACCCCGTATATGGGCAACCACTAATCTTTTCTCCATCTCTGTTGTTTTGTTATTTCTAGAATGTTGTGTAAATGGACACAGACTATACGTAACTTTTTGAGATAGATTTTATTTTTCACTCAGCATAATGCTCTTGAGATCCACTCAGGTTGTTGCATGAATCAATAATTCATGCCTTTTTATTGTTAAGTAGCATCCCATAGTATAGATGTACCAGAGTTTATTCAACCATTCACCCACTGAAGGATAGTTGAGTGTTTCCAGTTTGGGGCTGTTTATGAATAAAGCTGCTGTGAACATCTGTGTACAGGTTTTTGTATGTGAAGTTTTCATATATCTGGGATAACTGTCCAAGAGTGCGCTTGCTGGATTGCATGATAAGTGCATACTAAGTTTTTTAAGAAACTGTCAGACGGTTTTCCAGTGTGGCTGTACCGTCTTACATCCACCAGCAGTGTATGAGAGATCCAGTTTCTCTGCATCCTCACCCACTTTTGGTATTACCACTATTTTAATTTTAGTTATTCTACTAGGTTTCTGGTGAGATCTCATTGTGGTTTTAATTGGTGTTTCCCAAATGGCTAATGATATTGAACATCTTTTTATGTGCTTATTTGTGCCATCATAACTTCTCTTTGGTTAAATATATATATTCATATTTTTTGCCCATTTTCTAACTAGGTTGTTTTTTACCATTGAGTTTTGAGAATTCGTCATTTATTCTGGATTCAAGTCCTTTGTCAGAGAGGTGACCTGCATATATTTTCTTCCAGTCTGTGGCTTGTCTTTTCTTTTTAACAGTATCTTAACAGAGCAACAGTTTTAAATTTTGGTGAAGTCCAATTTATCAATTTTGTGAATCGTGCTTTTGGTGTCATATCTAAGAACTCTTTGTCTAACCCAAGGTTGTGTAGATTTTCTCCTAAAAGCTTTATCGTTTCATGCTTTCCATTTAGGTCTGTGATCTTTTTTTTTTTTTTTTTTTTTTTTTTTGCGGTACGTGGGCCTCTCACTGCCGTGGCCTCTCCCGTTGCGGAGAACAGGCTCCGGACGCGCAGGCTCAGCGGCCATGGCTCACGGGCCCAGCTGCTCCGCGGCACGCGGGATCCTCCCGAACCGGGGCACGAACCCATGTCCCCTGCATCGGCAGGCGGACTCTCAACCACTGCGCCACCAGGGAAGCCCTGTGATCTATTTTGATTTAACTTTTGTATAAGGTGTGAAGTACAGGTTGAGGTTTTAAAAAAAAAAAAAATTTCTTTTCCCTACAGATATCCAATTGTTTCAACACCATTGTTGAAAAGACTTAAATTTTACTCTAATATGCTTAAGTGTGATTTTCCTTCTCTTTCTTCTTTGTCACCCAATGAGACTTTCCAGTGGAAGGTCTTTCATCTTTATTTAATTCTGAGACAGTTATCTCTGGTTCAAATATTTCTTACTTTATTTTCATTTTCTCTCTTTCTTATATGGGCTCTTCTTATCTGGATATTAGTAATTCCCTTTCTATCTTCATATCTCTTAACTTTTCTTTATAGTTCCTATTTATTGTTTTCTTTTTTCTTTCTCTAGAGTTTCTCAATCTGATCTTCCAGTTTAATAATTTGTTCTCAGCTATGTTCATTCCACTGTTTATCCCATCTGTGTTCTCCATTTCAACATTCTGTTTTTACATTTGATATTTAATATTTCTATTTCATTCTTTTTATTGTGTTTTTTCCTGTTTCATATTGCTTATCCCTTTCCTTATTTATTTTAGTATGTGTATTAAGTTTATTTTAAATTCTTGGTCCATCTTTTCTAATATCTGTGCTTCTGAAAAAACCTGTAATTCGGTTTTTTTTTTTTAATAGTTTTGATCCCCAAATGACTGGTTACCCCTCCGGGTTATGGCTGCTCTGTCTAGGATTGCTAGAGGTTGCACCTTAGTCTGTGTCAGCCCTATCAGCTTAAGTGGAACGTAGGGGAAGTGGACTCTACGGTGGAGAGCACCTCTCTCCCCTCCCCGTTCCCTCCAAGAATACCAGAGTTAATCATTCCTCACTCTGAGGATCAATGCCTCAAATTAGATCTTTATCCTTAGCACCCCAAGAAGAAGCAGATTTAGAGGGAGACACTCCTTAAATTGTAAACCACCTGCCCTGGGGGATTGGAAAAGGAAGTGTGAAGAAGCATCTTCTCAAGCCTACCTAGTCAGTCCCCACTGAGTGTTCTTACCTCCTCAGGGCTTCTGCACTCACCAGAAGCACTCCCTCCCGAGTTTAGCTCTCTGACTCACAGCAGGTGCGCAGGCAGGTTCCAAGGCATTGAGTGGGCAGTAATTCCACCAACTCCTTCCTTATTTTGTTCAACCATTGCACAGGCCACCTTCTGCCCCAGGCTAAAGCCAACTAGACACCCTCACACCCCTCACACACAAACATACCAGTTCAGAATAGCCACGCCATCTCTCCTGCGGCCCCTCACGGTTTTCTTCTCATTTTAAAAAACTTTTTTTATTGGGGTATAGTTGATTTACAATGTTGTATTAGTTTCAGGTATACAGCAAAGTGAATCTGTTATACATATACATGTATCCAACTCTCTTTTAGATTCTTTTCCCATATAGACCATTACAGAGTATTGAGTAGAGCTCCCTGTGCTATACAGTAGGTCCTTATTCATTATCTATTTTATATATAGTAGTGTGTGTGTGTGTCAATCTCAGTCTTCCAATTTACTCTTCCCCCCTTCCCCCCCAGTTAACCATAAGTTTATTTTCTACATCTGTAACTCTGTTTCTGTTTTGTAGATAAGTTCATTTGTAGCCTTTTTGTTTAGATTCCACATATAAGCGATATCATATGATATTTGCCTTCCTCTGTCTGACTTCACTCAGTATGACAATCTTTAGGTCCATCCATGTTGCTGCAAATGGCATTACTTTGTTCTTTTTTATGGCTGAGTAATATTCCATTGTACTGTATATATGTACGACATCTTCTTTATCCATTCCTCTGTTGATGGACATTTAGGTTGCTTCCATGTCCTGGCTATTGTACATAGTGCTGCAATGAACATTGGGGTGCATGTATCTTTTCAAATTATGGTTTTCTCTGGATAAATGCCCAGGAGTGGGATTTCAGGGTCATATGGTTTTAGTTTTAGTTTTTTAAGGAAACTCCATACTGTTCTCCCTGGTGACTGTATCAGTGTAGGAGTACACTGTAGCATAGGAGGGTTCCCTATTCTCCACCCCCTCTCCAGCATTTATTGTTTGTAGATTTTTGATGATTGTCATTCTGACCAGTGTGAGATGATACCTCATTGTAGTTTTGATTTGCATTTCTCTAATAATTAGTGATGTTGAGCATCTTTTCATGTGCTTTTTAACCATCTGTATGTCTTCTTTGGCTAAATGTCTATTTAGATCTTCCTCCCATATACCTAGGAATAAACCTACCTAAGGAGGCAAAAGACCTATACTCAGAAAACTATAAGATACTGATGAAAGAAATAAAAGATGGCACAAACAGATGGAGAGATATACCATGTTCTTGGATTGGAAGAATCAATATTGTGAAAATGACTGTACTACCCAAAGCAATCTACAGATTCAATGCAATCCTTATCAAATTACCAACGTCATTTTTCACAGAATTAGAACAAAAAATTCTTCTCATTTTGATGTCATCCCCTTATAGGATCTCCAAGCTTGATCCTGAGGGAGGGGGCCACTGAATCAGAACTGGAACCTGCTCTGTTCTTCAGTGTTCTCTGACCTTCCCAGACATGCACCTACTTACTTCTATTTGTACTTTCACATAAGAACACACATCTTTAATTCTGGCATATATAACTCCTCAAATAATATTTTTTTCTCTATTTCCTTGACATTTTTTTTTTCTGATTAATTTCTTTTAGGTATATATTGGGCCACTTAATCTCTCATTTTCTATGTCTTTCAACTGCTTTATTTTATTAAAATTTTTATTGAAATATAGTTAATGTGCAATATTATGTTAGTTTCAGGTATACTACATAGTGATTTGACATTTGCATACATTATGAAATAGTCATTGTGTTAAGTCTAGGAACCGTCTGTCCCCAACAACTGCTTTTAAAAGTAGATTTTTGTAAAAAAAATA